CGAGAGAATTTACTTATAGACGGTTCTGAGCTTTGATCCGTTAAACCGAGAGTTTTATTAGACATCCGCTATACCGAAGTTCGCTATACCAAGACTTACTGTGTAGTATAAAAAAAACTTGTATATAAAACATATGACGTAATTTTTCAGAATCTAATATTTCATATGTCACGATTTCAGTGCGGTTATTATGTAAGTTTCTGAGACAAGATTTTAAATTACGATTTTTCAGAAGATTTTTGGCCGAACTTTTTATTTTTTTTTTAAACTGTTATTCTCCCAAACATTACAAAAATTTGAAATTTTGCATACATATTTTTGAGAACTTTAGTCACAATTTGGTGAAATTTATTTGTGTTTTATTATGTACGTTTCTGCGTAATTAATTGTTTTGTAGTGACCAAAACTTTTTAGCTACAACATACAATGTGTTAAAAATCCAGAATCCCACGTAATAAAAATTATATTAGTATTAGATAATCAATTACCATATTCACATGTAGGGCAGTAATACGTAATAATAATAATAAAATCATTTTGCAGATCGACAAAATATGGAAGTGTGGAGCAGATTAGGTCACTGGCTTTGATAGAAAGATTGCTATTTTGTTATTTTATTAATTTCTCTATATACGAAAATTCAGACTAAAAATAGAGATTCGTATCTAAATTTGGTCAACAAATCACCAGTTTTGGATTTGTGGTAACGCAAAAAAGCCAAGAGAAAATTAATGTAATTCAAAGATTCAAGTTTTAATTAAACTTTCTTGGCTCAGAAGATAATTCGGAATTACCGTCCAACAACGAATTAAATACTTTTGAGAATGATTCTAGCAGAAAATGATGGCAGCAAGTACAAGTTCGTCAAATTATATTATTAAAAACATTTTTAATTCCGCGAATCACATTAATGTCATTTTGAATGAATTACAAGACTTTAGAATCTGTATTTATTATTATTATTAATTAATATTTATTTATTCTAATAGAAATTACAAAAACCACGCCCGTAATACCAATTATATTTTTATAATATATAATATATATGTATATTTATCTAAGATAAATTTAAATTAAAATAAAATAAAGTAAAAGTTCCTTTAACTGTAATCACCACCACCCATGACTACTTCGCATCCGAACTGGCTTTTTCCGGTATTACATTTCTTGGTGTCATGGCAACAACGGATACAGTAACGATTAGTGTCGGGCTCAATTAAGTTTACAAAATTTTTGAAACCTAGACATTTGGCACCAATGGGAGCGCGAGTATCAAATTGACCACCTCCATCACTCTTTTTCAAGCTGTATTTGGTTCTGTTAATTCTGCCAGTGTATTGAATGAAATCTACGTTCTCTACAAAGTGTTTCGATTTGATAAATCCAGCAGGAAATTGCTTGGCACCAACTGCATTATTTTTATCCTCGCAGAATGCGATAGCATCATCTTCATGGTCACCAATGATTTGTCCTTTTTTAGGTGGGAGCATCATACAAAGTCGTTTATTAGTTGGGTTGAGGGTTATACCGCATTGGACTAATGCGACGGTCGAAAGGATTACGATTACTAAGAGAACGAGTAATTGGGATAGTTTGGACATTTTATTTTGGACGAAAAATGAAGGATTATATTTTTTTTTTTATTAAATAATTTGTTTTTTTTGTTGATATGGAAATAAATGTATGAATTCGACGATTTTAAGGCCTCTATATATAGCGAAATTATTAATACATAAACAAAATATAAAGACGTGACAATTGTTAGATTTATATTTAGAATTACACATTTAATAAATATCGTGCAACAGTTTTTTTAATTAAAAAATTTATTAATGTTTTTTTTTCTTCACTATAACAATACATTACAATTTAAAAATGTAGATCTTTCCCAGTAATATAATTTATTATTGTCGTAAAAAAAATATATAGGTAGATCAAAACGAATCATTTTTAATTGTTTCTATTAATTGTAAACATCATAGTGACGCAACTAAGGAATTTTACTTACTTTTTATGGAAAGGTTTAGTTAACTTTTTTGGAATTTACTATTACTTTATTCCTACTATTAATAGTCGAAAAATTTTCTATACCAATATATACAATAATCAAACTTTGTATTCCCCTTAAGGAATGGAAAAACTTCAAAGTCAGATGATCATTTTGTATATAACGTGCAAAAAGTTAGTGTAACAGTCGGCTATATAGAGGAGAGGGAACTAAATTCATTATATAATACTTATGCTAATTAAATGGGTTTCCGACATCGTTTCCCTACAGAGTGTTTCTTAAAGTGCAATCCCTCGATTCAATTTGTACAGGGCGGTCAGTTTAGTTGTATAGTGTGTGAAATGAGTTGTCGGGGAAACGTCTTGTCGGAGAATCATCCTGTCGGGGAATCGTACTGACCCAATTAAATTGCTAATTGTCGACTTTTACTGAAAAAGTTTATACTTTTTATGCCATAGAATGATATCCTTTTATTACAATATTAGAATTAAATGCCAGTATTTAACGACAAAACTAGGAGGATAAAAATATTTTAGATGTAAAATTAAATTAAACCACCGACATTTAATTCTAATATTGTAATATATATATTAATATATATTAATATATGAATAAAGTAAAATCTCGAATATAAAAAAATTAATATTAAAGGGTTGTATAGTAATAGTAATAGGTTTGGGGGTGTGCTAGCGATTATTAATTATTTATTATTATTATTATAATAATAATATTTCCATATTTGGGGTGTACCAGACAAAGAATTTCAGGGATTAGAGATGTTAATCGATTAATTTTTCGTAATCGAAATCGAAATAATCGATTATGAATTGATCGACAAATCGAAGAAATCGATTTTTACATTGCAGATAGTAGTAGCAGTAGCTTTATTTGTTTTATTCCTACGAGTTAAGAACTTTTACATATTACAGTATTAATAAACTGAAAGAATCTAGGTCACATGTCCAAAACACGAGTGGATGTTACTTCAATAAATTCCGTTTTATTTACAACATAAATTTTAAAATTTTATTTTTTATTATCTTTGACGGGTAAAAAATTATCAACAAATTTTTTGTTCCGTTTCAAAAAAAGAACATGGTCAACAGACTGTGAGCTAAGCCTATTTTTGTAACAAAGTTATTTATTGTCCTGCATCAGAGAAAGGTCCCTCCGAAGAAGGAGTTGCCAAATATTAGCAAGTATTGGGAATTTTTTTTCATTATCACACCACCATTTTAATGGTTCATTTTCTTCAACAGGAAATACTTGGGGTATGTTTTTATATGATTCAAATTCATCCCTGTCTAATTCGGCTATTTCTCTAGTTGAGACTTCTAAATTAAAATTGTTTCAAATATTAATATACTAATACTATTATTATTATTATTATTTATTACTACTACTACTATTGTTGTTGTTATTAGCGCTGCTATTATTATGCTTATAATGTTTAGAATGAAATATGTATATTAATTTGTATATTATGTATGAATTTGTTCGTTAGGTTATGGCATTTAATTTTTAAACTTCTAAAATTATTACTATTGCAATTATTGTTGTTATTATCATTACTACTGTTAATTTATTTAACACTTGATTTTTTCGATTAAATCGATAATCGATTGTGGAAAATCGATTTTTGTATAATCGATCAACATCCTAGTCCTGGATTTCTTTATTTATATATAATACAATTTTAGTAAAACATAATTATCATGTGACAATCAGGGCTGGCCGCGTAACTCAAATGAGCACTTGGCTAAACCGACTAAACTATATATTTAGTCATATGTTAAGCCAAGTTTAGTTAAGTCAATTATTACTAATTAGGTTTTTAACCCCTTTATGCTGCCAGCCCCGGTGACAATCAAATTCAAAAAATGACAATAACTTTTCATAATAGTGGCCAAAATTTATTTGAATTCCTTGATTCAATAGCCAAAATTCTGGGTAGTTTTTTTTATGATAATTAATATAGAGAATATAGAAAAGCCAGAATGTAGCCAAAATATTTGGCAAATGCAAAAACAATTTTGACTATCATGTATGGTGACAATATAAATAAAATTAATAATAAAATTACAATTAAGTATTAATATATAAAATAAAGACATATCATGAAAAAATTAAAAGAATATTGATTTAATAAGAATATTTATAATTTGTTTATCATGCTAATTATAAAATGTATAGATCCCAATTAATTATTAGGATACTATGTTGAATGTTCTGAAATACTATGCTGATCATTAACATCAACATCGTTGTTAGGATCATTCTCCATAAATATTTCTTCAATAACATCAATTGATGATTTACCATCAAAATTAAGAAGAAAATTATTTGCTGCAAATGATGAGATTATTGGTGTTGTGTGATTTGCTTGTGCATAATAAGAAGATCTCTGCATTGTTTCAAAAGAATTTAATTGATCATTCATTAAACAATTATTAATTATTAATGATTTAAAAAAAAACTATTTAAAGAACTTACCAGTGAAGATATTGATTTAGATTTTGTCATATAACGTGCTGTATTTAATCCAACTTCTATTAATATTTAATTGAATATATTATAAGTGATAAATAAAATTTACTTGAATAAAAATCATTTTCAAAATAAATAAGTTTACTTGATCTTTCATCATCTTGTTGTTCATTATGATCTGATATCATCCCAGCAATACCATTAAATATTTGAGTTTTCTTTAATGGAGGTCTGAAATAAAATAAATTTTCTTGAGAAAATAATGATAACAATAATGATAATAATTAATAAATAATAAATACACTTTATAGGAAAATTCCCCAAAAGTTTTCTTCATATTAATTGATAACTAAAATAATAATAATAACAATATGAATAAATTCTTTTTAAAATAAATAATTAAATAAATGAATTCTTTTTAAAATAAATAATTAAATAAATGAATTTTAAAATATTTATTTACCTTTAATGTAGAATTAATCTTACTTTCATGTAATAAATAATGTCTAGTTATTATGGTGAACCCAACATATTCAGAAAGATTGATTTTTAATCTTCCAATATTACTAACTTCTTTGCCACCATTTAACACCTAATTATTTGAAATCAATCAGCAAATAAAACCAACCACCATAATTATAATTATAATCATAATTATAAATTTTTTCTCAAATTACCTGTTTTATTGATAGATGCAACTCACAAGGTAATAAAAAATTATCTTTACCTATAACAAGTTGTACTGAATTCCGTATTTTATACTGCCAGCGCACGGAATAATCTTTAATAGGCGCCCTAAAATAATAATAGCAATAATGAAAAAATTATTATCCTCAGTTATATTATCATCATTATCATAATACATTATCATTACCTATTAGTCTTACTATTTGCATTTACTCTTCCCTGCTTGAATTTCCATTTTACATAATAAAGTCCTGTTATTAAAGGAACGTTTAAAAGTTCTTCTATTGTTATTTCAATATCAAAATCTACTTTGCGATTTCTAGGAATAAATAATAACGGTAATGACATTTTTTTGCTCAAAAAATTAATATTTTATTAATAATCAATCCCATATTTGAAAGATTAGGAGTTATAAAAAAGGGAATGACATTTAAATGAACGGAATTATGTTTACATTTTACTATACTACGGTGCAGATCATCTATACATTAATAATAATTGATCAACTTCAAAATACTATCTTCAAAACTTATCGGCTGGTTTTTTTCTTAAACTGAAAAATTGGCTGAGCCTTAGCATTTTGAAAATTCCGAATTTTGTTATTATACATTTAAGAAATTGAGGCATTTGATTTATTTGATTAATAAATAAAAGTTATTTATAAAAAAATTTCCGGAGAGAAAATTTGAGACAAATGTTTTTTAGATTAATAGACTCCCTTTTTAAAGCCAGAATTGACTGCGGCTCAAAACACTGCCAGGATTTTGATTATGATGTAATGTTAATTGGGACATACTATTACTTTCAACTGTGAACTTTTTTGTGGATTGTTAATTGGATCCTTGCTTGGTTTCTTCTTCACTATAAAACTTACAAAAATCAATTCTCTATTATAAATCAAAAATCGATCAAATAATCAATAAAATAGAACCAAGAAAAAGCCAATTTAAAAATAAAACAAACAAAAAGGAAATGCTAATTATGAAATTGATATATAAATTAATAATATACATAAACATATCATGTTGTATATGTTCTGGTAATTTTCTCAACAGTCTATCATCATGAGAATAAAAGCTAATTTTACAAGAATCACAAGTATAACTCCAACTACGTAGCAAAACATTTCTATTAATACCATAAATTAATCGTGCACCTCCATCTACTCACCCTTTTGATTTAGCCTTCCCATTGCAACTGTCAATTATACAAGGAATGATAGGTACATAGTGGTGATAGAATTTTTCAGGTCACCAAAAGAAAATTGATAATAAATAGTCATCATCGGGATTTGGTGTTAAACTTCAATAAGAGTATTTTGGAGGATGATACCATTCAGAGACATGTTTAGACAGAATTTTATCTGCTTTACAAGCATCCAATATCTTTTGTGAGTCAATTTCTATGATTTCTGCTTGTTTTTTGTCTATCTCTTTGGGCCATTACTTGATGTGGGAGGATGGAATACACCACTGACGCAATTAGAATTTTTTTAAATATTTATGAATTAGCCAATCAAAATAAATTATAAATTAGCCAATCAAAAATCTTGGCACTCAATAATTAAGCCCTTTTTTTATTTGATATATATTCAAATGATTTCTGATCAGGAAGACTAGAAGCAAATATTCTACACGTTGGACAAAATATATAAAATATGTAAGTAAAGAAGGCAAACCAATTAAAGCTCTGACAAATGTATATTAATTGAAGATGATAAATGCTTTGTGAATTATATTAAGAACAAAAAATAATATTTATTTTTTAAAAAAAAAGACAATTAATTATAAATAATAGTAATAGTAATTAATGTATTATAATATAAGATATGTATATAAAATAAAATGTTAAAAATTAACTAATTGACAAAAAAATTAAGTACAAATAATTTTTGTTATCAAATCTCTAAATAAAAATAATATTAATATTAAAAAAAAAATTAATCATTGAATAAAACTCGTATATATATTATGTACATATATAATCGAAATATTATAAAAAAAATTACATTACAACTTACTTACACATGCTGTCTTTCATATCCCATTTTCGCCCAACCAAAGAATAAATTTTAAGTTGTAAAAATTCACAAACTAAATAAATTTCTAAGGTCAAGTAAGGGAAGAAAGAACCTTCTAAACAGACTTTGTTTTTTTTTTGTGTATATTGATGCATTTATTTCTCAACCATTTATAATTTTTTGTTGATATCACTTTTTTTATAATGTGAGTTCCTCATGATTTTTTTTTTTATTTTTGTTGGTGAATTTCTTGCTATTACTACTCTTATTTTTTTGATTTGAATTTTGATTTTGGTCCATTTTGATGCTGATTATAATGAGAATTATGGTCAATCAATCATCCCCATAACTAATGTATATGTTGCCCTTTTGTCTTTTAAAAGTTAGTTTTAATATGAATATACATATATATATATATATATATACATACATATATTTGTTGTTTTAACTGTTAAGGTTATTTTATCTCCGTCTAAAATTAAAAATAATAATTTTTATTTTCTTTATCTCATAGGAAGAATAATAATAATAATAATAATAATAAAATTTAATAATAAAAACCTTTCATTAGCATATGAATGATTACTGCCAATTCCACCAACTCCACCATTATTAATACCATTATTAACACCATTATTGACGCCATTATTGACACCGTTATTGACACCATTATTGACACCATTATTGACACCATTATTGACACCATTATTAACACCACCGGCAACAGCAATAATTCCACTTCCACCACTACCACTAGAACCACCTCCCCCTACATTACTAAAACCACCTTGATGTTGTAAAAGTTTACGACCTTTTTGATTTGGACGACGATTACCAGCTTGATAGGTGACTTTCACTCCACTATTCACTAAAGTCTGTTGAAGTGCAGCACGTTGGTTATGTTCTTCGCGTTCCTCATAATTCAATACCAATTTTTTAAGTTGTTGTTGTTCTTCTCGTTCCGCTTCTTGTTTATTTCGTGTGTTTACTGCCAATGCGCTATTAGCCGGTACCTCCATTATTTTCAACTATTTTAAATATAAATAAATTTATTAAATATGTATGTGCATGTGGTATGTGTATGTATGTATGTAGGTAGTTAAGCTTATCATACCTGTTGTTTAGTTCCTTTTTTTGTTAGCAAAGCGAATGAAACACTTCCATCCACGTGTTCTGCTGTATTATCCACCCCTTTAAGATACATTGGTATTGCAACATCCAACATTGCAGGTTTGCGCTCATATTTACGAGATTCCATGCTTTCGGTCATCATTTTACTAAATTCTCTTTCAAACTCTTCATCTTCTTCAGTAGTAACTTTGTCTTGACGTTTAGTATGAACTATCAGTTTATCCTCACCTTCTTCCATCCTATCAGATTCAGCTTGTGTGGTTTTCTATTCAAAAGGAACAAAATATATAAAGTTTTAATTAAATTCTTTTTTTTTTTTTTAAATAAAAATAAAAACAATTAAAAAAATATACATCGTCATCATCTGATACAACATCTTCACGAGGTTCTCTCTCAATATCATCATCATCCTCTTCCTCCTCTTCTTCAGATGTCGATTCACTTTCTTCTAAACTTTCTTCTGGATTTTTCAAACCACTCACATCCTGTATAGCTTTTTGAATCATCAAAAGTTTTTGATCAACAACTTCCGCAGCTTCTTCATATGTTTTAAAGAAAGTCATATTAGGCCGTAGCACCTAACAAATCAGCCAACCGTCAAAAGAAGAAAAAACCATCGAATGAATGAATAACGGACAATTGGATTATATAAATACCGCAATAAAATATTTTAAAATAATATTAAGAAAGGAGAAAAGAAATATGATTATAATAAATACCTCGTACATATCAACAACCATGAATTCAATGTCCATAGGCAGTTTGTTTTTTGTCAAGATGTACATCTATAATAATGAGTATAAATTATTTTACGAAAAAATAATTTAGTTTCAAAATATTAAAAAAAAAAAATTTAATAATTATATATTACCTGGAAGAATATCAAAAAATCATCTAATCTTTTTTTAGAACCGCCTGCCGCAAAACAGACCCCGCAAGTGTCGAGTAAGGTGCAGCATAAACGAATCCTAAAGAAGTCATTTGGTGCATCCAATGGATTAACCCGATTTGGTGAAGGTCGTCCATTTTCTATCAAAAAATAAATAAATAATTTTCAATTTGAATCTTCAAAAAATTTATTCTTAAAAAAGTAAATTAAAGTCATACAAACCGTAACCCAAGGTTAGAATTGAATAAAGTACATCGAAAATAACTGATGATTCAATCACTCGATAATTATACAGTTCACCCAAATACTTGACAGTTGCAATTCTTCGTTGATTATGTTTAAAGATATTTTGCTATTTAATTAAAATAAATAAATATAATCATATTAATTATAAATACCCAATTATAATAAATATTATTTAAAATAAAAGTTATAAACTCACTTCTAATCCGATTCTTATATCTTCAATTACTCTATCAACAAGTGTTACTGCAAACTCTGAATGATATTCTAGTAATCCAGAAGCTACGATTGCCATCAAATGTATATTACTGTATTTGATTTTCCAAATTTTGCAAAAACATTTCTCAATAATCCTATAGGTCTACATTTAATTAATATATATATGTGTGTGTGTTTAATTGAAAGGGGTCTTTTTTTATAACCAATAAAAAACACTAAATAAATAAATACCTCTTTATCTTCCCAGTGTAATTTTCTCAATGCTTTTAATACTTTGTCTACACTTTTTCTGCTAAGGTCTGCATAAACAAGTTTAAGAATATATTTTTCCATCACAGAACGTTCCTTTTTAACAACTGCTGTTCTATCAGGTGGATTACACTGATAATATGCATTTTCCACCATCAAAAGTTGACGATTATCTAAATGTTGGACATTTTTTTTCCTAACCATAATATCCAACATATTTCCCATTCTGGTACTGGTATCAGGACTTTTAAATAAAAATCTTCCACAAGTTTCCAACAAATTACATGCAATATCAATATTATGATTTGCAAAATCATCAAGAACTATTTTCAAACAATGAAAGATAGCATGTTGTGGAGTAATTTTGAATTTTGTTAATTCAGAAAGATATCTTATATTCTGTTTAATTTCCAAAATAATTATTAAGTAATGTTAGATTTTTCATTAAAAAAACATTAACCACAAAATAAATTATAAATATAAAATATAAATTATCAATGCACCTTAATTTTAGTTTCAAGCAAATCAACAGTTTTTCTCCTTTGTAAAGATTTGAATTCACCCTCCAACTATTTTATTTTATAAAAAATTTAATTC